CTCTCTCTCTCTCTCTCTCTCTCTCGCCCCCCGTCGCCCCGCCACTCCCTTCCCGAACAGAAAGGATGCCGAAAAGATCTGTATCCGGCCGAAAACTTGGGTCTGGTACCCTACTACCCTCCCTCCGACGTTGGAGCAACGTTGCAGGCCCTTGCCACGTGCGCGCGCGAGCGTGTGTGTGTGTGTGTGTGTGTGTGAGAGAGAGAGAGAGAGAGAGAGAGAGAGAGGTTGGTTAGGGAAAAGGTCCAGCCTTTGCATGCTGTAGCCCATGACGAATCGTCGTACGTCATATCTTCCAGTGAGATAGGACTGTGCCGATTCGAGAGGTGCAGTTCCCAAACCGGCGTCAGAGCGGACCTTGTCGGTTTGGTAGTGTCATCCATTCTGGTGCAATTGCAGCATCTCTCAGTATCACCGGGCAAAACAGGTTAACGAATCTTCCATTATCTCGCATGCTGGTCTCTTGTGACTAAGTTCATGGAACCTGGCGTCTGCAGAGTCACACCTGTATGGATGGAAGGTTCGTGGTGGTCCCAGGCCGCTGGTAAGAGATGCCTCGGCTGAGTTGCCCTTCTCGAAAGAAGGGACAAGTGTGAGGACAGTGATGAAAGGTCGCTTTTGCAGGCTGCAGGTAAAGGAGAAGACACTTCCTTTCTGCCGAATTTCGCAAGAGAAATCAGAAAGGTTGCCCTCCACTACTTTAACCCCAATCGTTGAAGACTTGGGAGAGGTAGGAACGGAAATAACTAGGGAAATGGGGGGAGGAGGGTAATTAGTAATTACCCCCTCTCCTTCTTCCCCCATTTCCCCTTCCGCCTGTGTTTCGTCTCCCTTGTGATTGACGAGGAGGTGGGAACACAGGGGGGGGAGGAAGTTGAGTGAGGCAGCTTGTCCTGCGGAGCGCTTCCCGCGCAGCGAGGTTGGGTACTCATGGTCTGCTTGACTTCGAGAGAACGTTTGGGGGAGGAGGCATGCTCCTTCCTTTGGGGGGTGAGGCTTGTGTCCCCGTCCCAAGGTTGGAAGCAGCAGCAGCAGCATTTGTCGCCCCCCCTGCTACTCCGTTCTGCCATCCACCTTGATGACTTCTCGCCCTTGCCAGTCTAAGATTCGACGGAATCGACTAAGATTCGTCTTCCCTCTTCATTGTGGGATAGATGATCGAAGCACTGCTGGAGATGAAGAGTGTTTGTCCAATTTGAGGTCTCCTTCTGTGCTTGGTGGCTCATTATAGGGAGAAGGAAGGCGAGCGAGAAGGAGCACACACACGGTCTACACAGGCTCTACAGGCCTGGGCATTCCGCAAAGTTGACCATGGGTAGGACAGGCAAACCGTGTAAGACAGCATCAAGGCCTGAAGAGGTGGCAGTTATCTTCGAGATGGTATGGGCCCGGGAGTTTTGGGCCTGTGGGGGCATGGTATGGGGTACGTGCTACCCCTGTGAGGGAGGGCTGGGCTGATTTCCTGAAGGTTGGTAGCACCTCCGAAATCGAACAAGAAAATGGTCTCGCGTGGGTCGTCAGATCTTCGAGATCTACGGCCCAAATCGGGCCAAATTCAAATTCGAATTCCCTTGGAGTTCAGTGCCCTCCGCCCTACCCCGCCTGCAAGGTTTTTTATCTTTTTCATTTATTTTATTTTTTAATTGCCCAATGAATGAATGAATGAATGAATGAATCAATCAATCAATCAATCAATCGAGTCGATCAATTCGATTGATAGATTGGTCGATTGATTGCTTGCTTGATTGATTGAAGAAGGAAAAAAATGACGAAGGAAAAAAAAAAAAAACAGTGCGACTCCCCCCATACCTCTTGTGCCACCCTCCTCCTCCTCCTCCTCTTCATGTTCATCTTCCTCCTCCTCCTCTTCATCCTCTTCTGTCATGTGCTTCCCCTCCTCAAGCTCCTCTTCTTCTTCTTCCTCGTCCTCTTCCTACTCCTACTACTCCTCTTCTTCCGCAACAAGTTCCGCCATATCTTTCACCTTGTCCTCTTTGTCCTTTTTCTCTTCATTTCTTTTTTCTTTGTCCTCCTCCTCCTCCTCCTCCTCCTCCTCGTCCTCCTACTACTACTACTACTATTCCACCACATTTTTCTCATCCTCCTCCCATCAACGTCGCGCTGCCCCGCCGCCGCCGCCGCCGCCGCCGCCGCCGCTGCCGCCGCTGCCCTCAACACCGCCTGCGAGACTGCGACGCAACTATACCCACAGACCGCCCCCCGACCCAACACGCACACACAACTCTTTTTGAGGCTTTTTCCCTTTTTGTTGGTTTTTCTCCAAATGGTCCGAAATTGTAAATGCGCCCCCCCCCCGCGGCAAGCGCGGCCCCCTCAATGTTAAATGACACGTGGCGCCCCCAATCGTGTTTTGACACATGGCGCCACGGTCAACCAACCTACCGGACGTCAGACAGAGACGTCTGGCCAGGGCGGTTTGCTTCATGGAGTATTCCAGCCGCAAAAAAAAAAAAAAAAGCCTCCTCCCTACGCAGCTTGAGCGGGGCGTAAGGTGGTGGTCCCGCCGTCTGGCAACCGCAAGTAATACACCAAGTCATAAGCGGGAACAGAAGCATGGGCGGAGTAAGGCGCTCCTTCCCTCCGCAAGTCATAAGCCGGAAAAGCAAAGGGAGAAGGGGGGGAAACAGTGGGGGTAGTCGAACACACACACGCACACACACACACACACACACACACACACACACACACACACACACACACACACACACACAGAGGGACAAAAATTTGGGGTGGGCCCGTGGGGGGAGGGGGATGGGTGGTTCAAGTGGTCGCAATGGTGCGCACACACAACTCCTGCTGGCAAAGGTGCAGGAGACAACAGGGTGCAGGGTGAGCGTGAGTCGTCTCCGAATTAGGGAGCTAGCAGTTCCTCCAGGGCTCGTTTTTTTGCCCCCCCTTTGTTTGGAAATGCATAAATAGGAGAATGGGAGCGAAGATAATGCTCTCAGTACTTCGGGGTTGAATTGTGAGGGGTCCCGGGGCAAGGTCCCACTTGCGCAAATTAGGAGATTTCGGCCGTTGATCTTTGCTATCTACGGTCAGTACCTCTTAATTCGAGCAAGTGGGACCTAGCCCCCGGGCCTCTGTTCCGTTTGGTAGTATATCGACGGTTTGAGGAGGCGGGGAAAAGAAAGAAAAGAACGAAGACAGAGAAAAGAAAAAGAAAAAGAAAAGAACGAAGACGGAGGGAAAAAAGAAAGAGAAAGGGAGGCAAAGCTACTGGCAGGTCGTGGTCTTTGTGTTAGCCAGACCCCCACTGGCGGCCCCAACCCTATACCCTAACCATTAGGGGCAAGGGGCAACATGAAATCTCCCCTTCACAGAGAGAGGAAACTATGCTTGCAGGGGTCCCCTCTAGATAGTCTTAGGAGTAGGTAGTGGAAGGCAAAGAAACAGAAGTTGAGAGAAGAATATAGAAAAAAAAGAAAAAGAAAAAAAAGAAAGAGAAAAAAAAATAATAATAATAATAATCAAAAAAAAAAGAAAAAAAAAAGAAAGAGACCAATGAAGGTCGATGAGAGCACAGAGAAGCTGCTAAAAATGGAAAGACACAGGAAACACGCAGAGACGCAGAACCGAAAGCGGTGCGCGGGCGGGAGCAAGCGGCCTACAGTCTTCACTCGAATACAACGTACCGTCATTACAGCAGTGTAAGTATTTGGGCCAACTTTGAGTCTCGATACAGTGATAATGAATGACCGTACGTCGTATTCGGGGGAAGACTGTAGCTCAGTTCATTACGCACACAAGTAGCATACAGGAGGAGGTCATGGGCTCAATCCCAACTGACCGCCTGCAGCCCTCTTGGTGCCAGGTTCATGTTGATGTGTATGTATGTGGACTTGTAAGCACACTTTATGCATTGCACACAGATGCACGCACAGAAACGAACTCAAGTTGAGTATTGCACACACAAACGAACTCAAGTTGAGTATTGCACACACGAATGTACAAGAAAAGAAGAGTGTGACTGTTTCCCTCCTGACTTCTCCGTCGTCAGTCCTGCAGACCATCAACCCGCTCCCCTCGTTGACCACGTGGTCCACGTCAACACCTCTGCGGAAATGGGGGACCGTGGAGGACTTAGGAGCCGACCACGTGGCATTCAGGCGGGCGTGGATGTAATCCCGACCAACCACCTGCAGGCTGCACCGATCTTGGTGCCAAGCAAATGAGATGGTGGGCTTGCTCGCAACGATAGTTGGTTTGGGGTGTGCGTGCGGGTGGGTTGTGGGTTGTGTGTGCTGTGTGGGAGAGTGCTGGCCATAGACACTGCACTGCTGTTACTTGATGGATGGGGGCGGGGGACGACTTTCAATGTCGGACCTCAGCACCCACCTGCTCATGGTGTTTTAAGATGAGTTTTTTTGGAAATGAATGGAGAAGTGGTAGATGGGAGGCGCAGCTATACTGGCAAAATGATCGGGCCCTGGCCCAACCCACCGGTGGGTTGTGTGTGGCGTGTGGGAGAGTGCTTGGCATAGGGCACTGCTGTTACTTGATGGATGGGGGCGGGGGAAGTAGATGGGAGGCGCATCAACTGGCAAAAAGCTCGGTCTTTGCATGAGCAGGCCTCCACCGCCCGGAGGCCCCACCCACCCTCCTCCCTGACCAGCAGTGATTAGAGTGGAGGGCAACATGCATCCCCTTAATTGTGAGAGGTAGCTATGCTCGCAGGGGTCCCCTGTGTATAGCTTAGCAGTGCTGGTAGGTAGGTAGTAAAAGGTAAGGAAGAATATACTTAGTTAAAAAAAAAAAAAAAAAAAAAAACAAGGGTGTGGAAGGGCCTGGCCCACGTGGCACAATGCAAGTAACCCAGCAAGTGGCAGCAACTGCTCACAAACAGACCTGAGTTCGAGTCCTGCAGAGTCTTCAGACATCCGGACGTATCAAGAAGACGACAACAGTGGTGCACAGGTCATCATCATGGCAAATCGCTCTTGCAGCGAAGGACATGAGATCACAGACATGAATTCACAAGAATCACAACCCCCAAAAAAAAAAAAAAAAAAAAAAAATCACAACCCATCAATACAGGTCATGTACCGGCTCAAGGCACACCCCAGATAGCATTCCACCCCTTCCCTTGTGGGGGGTGGGGTATCCCTAAGGGACCCCCAACTGGCGAATGCTAGCCCATCAGGACAGCTTACCGAGCCCAGATAGCACAACTGGCAATCCCCAACCCATCACGACAGCTTCATGGCTCATTCTAATGGCACAGGGCACAGCGCAGACAGCCTTCCACACCCTGTCTCTTATACACATCTAGATGTGTATAAGAGACAGCTTCCCTTGTGGGGGGTGGGGTATCCCTAAGGGACCCCCAACTGGCGAATGCTAGCCCATCAGGACAGCTTACCGAGCCCAGATAGCACAACTGGCAATCCCCAACCCATCACGACAGCTTCATGGCTCATTCTAATGGCACAGGGCACAGCGCAGACAGCCTTCCACACCTTCGGGGGGGGAGTTGTACCCCCTAAAGGGGCAGTTAAGTGGCAAAAGCCAACCCACCACGACAGCTTAGGGCTCATTGTAACGGCACAGGGCACAGCCCAGATAGCATTCCTCCCCATGTGGAGGGTGTGGTACTCCTAAGGGACACGTACTAGGGCCTGCACACGGAGGGACATTGTTGGGCCGTACCCTGTGGCACTCGTCACAGAAGTGCGTTGTACCGAAGCAGAAGAAAGTCGCAATGGAGCAGCAATGACGACACTTAAACTGGATGTATTCTTTTCCATGGCCGCGTTTGCACTCTTCAGCGTCACTGGCCATGGCGGCACAGCCGCCACAGATCAGCTCTGCTGGGTTGTAATCCCCTGCCGCGGCATTTTCTGCTCCTCCGTCATCTCCATTCTCCTCCTCCACAGGAGCAGCACATCGTCTCTCTCCCCCAAAATATGGCTTCTTACAGTTGAAACACATGAAGAACTGGTAGGTGTGCAGTGCATACGCTTCTGGCCTCCCCTCGTACTCCCCTCCTGGCTCCAATGCACCAATGGCGTTCCCTCTCCTTTCCAACTCCAGTCTCTTGAGTGCCTTCTGAGTTATCGCTGCCTTCAGCTTCAATGGCTCCTCCATCAGAGTCTTGAGAAGAGAATGACTCATCTCCCTTGAGCACATCGGACATTCCAAGTACTTGGTGCTGATGGCTGGGCCGGGATACCCAGCCCGCAGCTTCCCCTCTGCGCAAYGCTTGTGCACAACATGCTTGCATCCCAGCAACAAGCAGGGGGCTTTGTCCAGCGGCTCTACCATGCAAATTGCACAAAAGTCGTCAGCAGAAGGAAGGACCTGCCCCCCGGCGGCGCGCTCCTCGCCGCCACAGCCATCCTTGAGGCAGGGCAGACAGTGGGATCCCCCTCGGACGCCGCCACAACGATGTCCACATGGCAGTTTCTTGGTACATGCCGCCTGGAGCCGTGATCGGCAATCCTCCTCGTCGCAGACCGTCGAGAACAGCTGCAAGACCTCTTCGTGCTCCTCGACAGACCTGCACCATCCCACGTCCAGTTGTAATCGCAAGGCGGCTTCTTTCATGCGCCTCAACGACTTCTTGTCCTTCTTCCAGCTCTGCTCACAAGTTTCCCGCCAACCAGCTGGCAGCTTGTCTTCACAATAGTAGCACCTGGGCGCATTCCTCTCCGCGCAGGTCTCCCCGAGATGATAGGGCACCGCCAAGCACTTGGCGCAGAAGTTGATTCCGCACATTGGGCAGCGGTACCTGTTCTCAGCGCGATCTTGTAACGCGGCATCCGACAACGGCCTCCCCGAGAGATCCACCTCGCGGAGGCTATCGCAAAGGGCGGCAGCGGCGGAGCCGGCTCCGCCGCCCCCCCCCGCCGGCTCCTTACTAGGCGCAATTCGTTCAATGACCATGTGACACGTAGGATGCGGACAGCGCAAGAAGGAACTGCGGGCGAAGAAGATGATATTCGCCGCCTCGCACCACCGCGTGGTCAGATCGGGCGCTAATTGCTGGCAGTCTCCGAGCGGAACGATGCCGGGACACCGAGAGCGGGAAAACCGGTTGGGACATGGCACGGGATCACCTGGCGTCGGAAGCGGAAGAGGGCACGACACCCCCCGTCCGCCGCCACGTGGCAGATCGAGAGCCGCCGAATTTTTTCTATCCTCCTTCCATTGCGCGATCCGTGGCTCCCACTCTCGCAGTTCCCGTTCTAGGAAAGCCCTCACACCAATGATTACACAATCTTGACATAAGGCGCAGTCACAGCGCGCCATTGCACAGTAATCAATCAACGAACGAGTTCGATGGCAACTGGAGCAGCAAAACACCGCCCCCGGGTCCATCCCGATCGCGATCGTGGTGACGGTCTCGACGAATAGCACAGAATCGGACAGAGAGAAAGGAAGAATCTTCGTCAGCTCACTCACTCGCTCCTCCTGTCTCCTGCCCTCCACTGTCGCCACGTGTACAGTAGTGACACGTGTCTTCCGGCTAGCGGAATGAATTCCTGATTGATCGATAGATCGTTATCGTACTTGTACTCTGCACAAGGACAGGCGCCGGGCGAATGGCAAACGACAGACAAAGTCAAGGGGAACATGCGTGTTATTAAAGCCGATTGCATCGTGTGCTACTCTCTTCACCCCTGCATAGTATAACGCACGGTCATTCTCGATGTCACAGAGACTGAAAGTCGGCGCTACTACTGTTAGAAAGACCGTGTGTTTTATTCGGGTAAAGACAGTAGCTACATAATCTATCAATCGATCGATTGATTAATTGATTGATTGATTAATTGCTTGATTGATTAATTGCTTGATTGATTAATTGCTTGATGGATTGATGGATCAATTGGTTGATTCACTCATTGAATAGATTGATTGACTGATTGATTGATCAATTGGTTGATGGAGTCGATGGATTCATTCATTCATTCATTGATACACCCATTCATCCATTCATTTATTCATTCATCCATCATCAATTGATTGATTCATTCATTCATCCATCCATTCATTCATGTACTGGGTGGTTTTTTTTTTTTTTTTTTTTTTTTTTTTTTTTTTTTTTTTTTTTTTTTTTTTAATCCGCTCCATCTATTGGTGGGGAGCATCACCTGCTGGAAACCGGGTCTCGCTCGATTACTTTCTTTCTTTCTTTCTTGGGTTAATTTCAAAAATATTGCTGTTTCGAAGTTTGGCAGCAAAAATGTCGTCCGTTCGTTCGAAGTTTTCCTTTGCAAAAATAGAGGTTTCGTTGCAGCTTTATCGGGTTCCGGTAGTTYGCCAGCAAAAATACCGCGTTTTGCCCAGTTTCACGGYRAAGGACCCCTAGGCCCCTGGCCTCAGGGACTCAGGGACTCAGCGTTCTGGCCTGAGGCACTCAGCGTGGTTTTTTTTGTTTTTGTTTTTTTTTTCCCGYGGACGTGGCCGACGCATCTCGGGGCCGTGGCCACGCCGAGATGCCTYKKYCWYG